GTTAATGCAAATTCTGAGTTCCCTCACAGAGAATTCAAACAGTCGGTTTTGGTACCTTGGAAATATACTTCCAATGATTTCAGTTTGACAAGAAAAATCGCTGAACAAACTGTAACACTTTTGTAGACTCGAAACTAGAGAGACTTCAACTCGCGAATGATATACAATGTAGTTGCCAAAATTTCTTATCTCAGAACATTTTTGAATCTGAAAAAAGACACGAACTCACTCAAAAATTCGAAAACGATACATGAGCTTTGCAAATGCGTTATTTTTTTAGTTGCTTTGTTAGCGAGACGAATCGTGACGCGAGAACATTTGAATACTCCCAGGTTACAACAGTAAAGGCATTAATTCTCCTGGGATCCTGCTGCGTCACCTCTTACTTGAGTTGTTTAGTAGTAGTAGTTGCGTGCTTCTATCAAAGATTAACGCATAAGCAGCGGGTTAAGGTGAAAATCTCTGAAAACCTTTTTTTGGTTCCAATAATCTCCTAATTTTCTGTTTTAATTCATTTTCCATTATTGATGCGAACTTCTAAGATTTTTGTGATTTTTTTTGAACATTTATTCTTGGTGGTGATTTTTCCATTGTCTTCCATTTGATTTAGTTCAGTCAGCTGTAGCTGTAGTAGCGACAGCATAGTAAGCTTTTTTGTACAACAAGAGCGAGAAATAACAGTCGTTTGAGTAAAATATTTGAGAGGCTTAAAACAACTGATGAAAACAAAAGAAGAATTATCATTCTAAATGACGGGGCCTTAAACTCTAAAAATAATACTTCTCTTATTTTGAAAGGGGTTGTGGTGCTGTGAAAAAAGAATTCTCCAGATTCTACTTTGGTCCTATCAAGCAGTACTGCATTGCAAGCTACAGTTCAAGATTCATTGAATAATCTCATTTGAGAGTAGCATGCAAATTGCAGAAATACTTTCCTATTTTGAATAAAGATACTTTCTAATTAGGAAGTAAACAAAGGAAGGAATTGAATTGATGGTTTATACAATAGGATTCACAGAGTTGAACTTTACGCAGCAGTGGACTAATACCCAACATGCAAAGATGTTACGTAAGAGTACGGAAGAATCTGATTGACAATGGATCAGAATATGTTTGTTTCACTTTTTTAAAGATATAAGAGAGTTTGGGCCTAAGGCTGATCGAGAGAGGAGTTTTCTTCTGTTGAAACAACCCGGACAGGCGTCACATTGATTAATGCTAACCATTGCTACGAAATGTGTATTCCGTTGCATCTACAGCTTCTTTTAATTCAACTTAAAGGATAATTGTGCTGCCTGATATAAGTATCAGATGAAATCAAGTACTCCTCTCTTTTTGAGTACTTCATTTTCATGTTAGACTGTTTCAACTCTAGCTCAAGTATTTAAATGCAGCAAGGAGGGAAGAAACTTTGTTTGCGATTCTTCATTAAGGCCGAGGGCATTGCAGTTTCACCCAAGAAAGAAGTACGCCTTAGTATATAACTAACTGCATCGTCACCCGTACTGGGGTGGCAGTCAACAATAACAACAGCTCCACCATCCGCTACCCTCAAATAGCCCCGCTTTCAAAGCGCATACGCCCGCGCAACATGCTGCGTGCGTGTTACGAAGAGCACGGGAGACGCTAGCTCAACCCGAATATGTCGCGCTAAGTATGAAATCGGAGGGACTTTGCATTGCTCTGCTTCGACTGTTTCCGCCTGTTCGAGGAAGACAGAATAGAAG